CTTGTGCTGACAGTGCAAAGTCTGCTTGGGATTCTCTTTCTCCTCCTTCAGCTTCTCCTCTGAGTGTGTGTGTGTGTGTGTGTTCTCTCTTTCCCTCTCTCTCAAAATAAGTAAACTTAAAAAAATTAAAAAACCAAAAAGTTTACGTTTAAAGAGAGAGAGAGAGAGAGAGCACAAGTCAGGGAGGTCAGAGAGAGAGGAGACAGAGAATCCCAAGCAGGCTCCAGGCCTCCAGTCCAGAGACCCACGCAGGGCTCGTACTCACAAACCTCGAGACTATGACCTGAGCTAAAGTTGAGTTGGATGCTCAACCAACTGAGCCATCTAGGTGCCCCCCAAAACGGCTTTATATATGTAAAGAAAGGTGAGAAGTTTAGCATTGTAGGAAAGCAAGTTATGCTTTGGAAGTAGACGCAGAACTGAAAAACGGTTTGAAGATAAACTATAAAAAATGTTGTATGCCAAGTTGCAGAGTGTATATTTTATTCTGTAAGTATCAAAGAATAGAAAGAAGTTCTGAAGGAAGTAATAAAGTGATTAATATTTTAAGAAAAAAAAGCCTTATAGTAGTGTTGGTTAGAAGTTGAAGGGAGACTCGTACAAAGATTATTTTATTACAATATTCTCAGAGATGATGAGGGCCTAAAATAAAGCTGAAACATTATGAATAAACAATGGGAATTAATTTCAGGGTCATGTTTGATGACCCTGATTTGATGATTGTCTACATAGAAGCTGGATTTCAGGGAAAGAGTAAAACAGAGAAAAAATTAAAACCACTAAGGGTTTCTAGTTTAGGAGGCTGGGTGGACAATGATGTCATTAATGAAAATTGAGAATAACAAGATGATTTAGAGTTTAAGGTATCTGCACATGCATTGTCTCATTTAAGATTATATTTATGTTATAAATTACCATTACCATTTCTGCTGAAAAGTCAATTGCACATGTAAATATACACACCGTTAGGGTTTCCTGAAATATTTTCCCACCTAGTTCTTCTTAGTGACTTGATAAAAAGTGCTATTTCTGTCATATACAGCCATATTTGTTTTAAATATTTTTAGGAAGTGATATTTTCCACTCTAACCCCTGCATTTTAAATATTTTTGTTAGCGGTTCTTATTAAGTCTTTAAAAATATTTATTATCTGACTTGTCAGTCTGACACAAAGCTTGAGGTTTAGCATACTTATTCACCAGTTATATAATTTATTAAAAGACATAAAAGAGAAAAACTGCCTCATCAACTCTCTGGTCCCACCATTAAACTTAAGTGGTGTTAAAGTCAGTCATAGGTAAAGTCAACTTTGGGGCTTTATGGTAGTATAGTCTCAAGGAGGCCTCCATTTTAACATATAAAACCAAAACCAAAACAGGAAGCTCAAGACACTCTCAAGGCACCAATTGGATAGGTAAAGGTAGTAACAATAATATCATTCCGTTTTTGTTTTTATTTTCTCATTAACTGAGGTATTTTACGGTGAGGCACTGGGGATGCGAAAGTAAATAAATCTTTGCTCTGAAGAACATAGAGTCTAGCAGAGAGGATGTAAACAACTCAATACAGTAAGATGTTTTAAGTGTTATAATACCATTAAAAATAACAATAAAAAATGCCATTAAAAATAACCAATAAAAATAGGAACACAGATGAGGATGCAAGTAATTCTGCAGGGGGATTGGACAGAGCAGGGAGGAGCAGAGAAGCTTTCACAGCGGAAGTAGCTTTGAGTAGAACTCTTGAAGGCTGAAGAGGAATTTTCAGGTGGAGAAAGAGAAAGACATTGAGAACCTGCATGGAAAGGCATGAAAGTAACAAATAGCCTGGTATTTGCAACATGGTGCAAACTGTAAAAATAAAATTAAATAAATAAATAAATAAATAAATAAATAAATAAATAAATAAATAAAAGAAATAAAATAAAATCGAAGCCAAAAAATGTAAGGTAGGACCTAGTTGTGAAGATCTGACATACCATGTTAAGGACACGAGCTTTTAAGCACTCTGAGGTACTGAGTGAATTGCTGACTTAACTCTCACTGGAGCTTGTGTTATATTTTCAGTATGGAGTTTACCTCATGAGCTTCTTTCTTTCTTTCACTCATTCAGATCTGGACTGTAATAAGACACCAGACTGAAAGGAATGATGGGTGATGTCCTTAAAGCTCAGGTTACTGTTATTGAGGAGGGAGGAGCATTCAAAGAAAGGGCAAGTAAGGTGATATAGAAACATGTGGCATTTGAAACGGGCTTTGATGGATAGGTAAGATTTGAACAAATCTCATTTATATTTTGATTTTGATGGGTTGAAGATACAGCTTTTTGCATTTCTCACTTATAATGTATTTTAAAGCATTTAAAGAATAAACCAAAAAAACACAAGAATAGTAGTTTCAAGAGCCATTGATTAAAATGACAGTGGTCATTAGTGTAATGCTCAATTAAGTAAGCATAAACAAAGACTTCTTTTTCTGCCTTCATTGCTGTACGTTCTTCAAGGCTAGGGGAAAAAAAAGCCCAATAAAACCCTGTACCTTTCTGTATACCTAACAGTGTCTTAGACACAGTTCTCAAACAATTGTTGAATTAAATTTAATACTTCTGGGTTTTATTGGATTCTAGTCCTTAAACAATACAGTTTTTAAATCATGGTGTAATGGAGATCTAAAAAATAGTATGTTCTTGGAAAGCCAGTAGGAGGAAGAGATAAACACCAAGTTACAGATCAATCTAGAATCACAAAGCCACAGTATTTACTTTACAGATTAAAAAGCTTGCTCCTGGGGTACCTCCCTGTCTCAGTCAGTGGATCAATGCAGCTCTTTTTGCCTAGGTCATGAGTTCGAGCCTCACACAGGAGGTAAAGTTTACTTTAAAAAAAAAAAAAAGGCGGGGGGGGGCACACGGCTGGTTCAGTGGGTTAAGCTTCCGACTTCAGCTCAGGTCATGATCTCACTGTTTGTGGGTTCGAGCCCCACATTGGGCTCTGTGCTGACACCTCAGCTCAGAGCCTGGGGCCTGCTTCGGATTCTGTGTCTCCCTCTCTCTCTGACCCTCCCCTGCTCATGCTCTCTCTCTCTCAGAAATAAATAAAACATTAAAAAAAATTTTAAAAAAACAAGAAGGCTTGTTCCTAATATTATGTTAGTGCACCATTAGCTATGCAATTCAGACCTTATGTGCTGATCACAAGCATAGAACAGATTGGATTAGTATGGAATGTATGATTGTGGAAAGTCTGAGGTTAAAAAAAAAGGAATGGAATTTAAGATACATAGAAGTAGCACTTTGAGAACTCACTGATGCATAATTTGAACAATTGCCACATTCTTATTCTTAGTGTAGATGAAGTGCTTATACTGCAAGGCTTTCTACAAATTTAAGCAAACATTTCTCTGGAGGAATTTACAAGCTAGACTAATAGCAAATACCCAGAATTGGATTCACAATATATCTAAGAGTATTTAGAAGACAGGAGGCTGATGAACACCTTATTACCTAAAGTCGTACACTAGTTGGGACTCCTGGGTGGCTCAGCCGGTTAACCATCGAACTTAGGGTCAGGTCAGGATCTTGGGGTTGGTGAATTCGAGCCCCGAGTGAGGTTCTGTGCTGACAGCTCAGAGCCAGGAACCTGCTTCGGATTCTGTTTCCCTCTCTCTCTGCCCCTCCCCTGCTCATTCTCTGTCTCTCTCACTCTCTCTCTTAAAAATAAATAAAGATTTTAAAAAATTAAAAAAAAAAAAGTAGTCCACTAGTCATATCTTGCCATATATGCTTCCATGGGTTCTAAAATTAGGATTCCTGTTGTACATTACTGTGGTTCTTATAAATTTTTGCCAGGGTCAAATACTGAACTGTAGCTGTAGGACCAAATATTGTTGGTCATAAAACTGACCAACTTTGCAACAATCATTAGGGGATTGAGGTTTTCAATTACTGAACAGTAATCACATGTTTCTTAATAAACATGTACATAATAATACATATTTTGAAAATCATTTCTTCTTTTTTTCTTATGATGATGGAATTGACAAAAACCAGAACGGACTTGAAATAATAAATTATTCTCAAGGCAGAGGAAAAAGAAAAATAAAGTTCACACAACTTATTAGGTCTGAGTGGACACTGTATTATTTATGATTACAATAACTGGATTAGTTGAAACATATAATTTTTATCTGTAAGTTATTTTATCCACAATATTGGGGGGATCCCACAGCACATATGAAAACGATTTTTCTACAGTTTTATAAGTGAAGGTTAATAATTATCTGGATAATTATTTTCACACATTTTCCCCGCTGAAATATTCAGATTGTTAACTACCAGTGCCTTTTTCCACCTAAACACACTTTATTAGTGAGGTGGAAACCTGATTTTAAATGTCCCCGGAATCATTAAGAGCGATTTTTAAAAGTTTTTCCAGACACGGAGAGATTTGATCTGGTGCTCACAGAACACACTGTTTCTTACTGGAGAAGACTCTCCACAGCAAGTGTGGAGAAGCCGCTTCTGACGAAAACAGAATTTTAGAATTTTAAAAACAGAGCTGTTTCTGTTCACAAATTAAAAAAACAGAGAGAGAGATTCTGACTTTCCCCCTTAATTCTACCAGAGGGAAGAAAATATTTAGACCAGCTACAGTTCAAGCGCCCGCAAGAGACGCTAAAAATGGACAACATAACGGCCCCAGGAGCTCAGGGCTGTGAGGGAGAGACGACCGGAGCTCGAGGACTTCAGGTAGAGTGGGGGCGGGGCCGCACCGCGGAGGGGCGGGGCCGCACCGCGGAGGGGCGGGGCCGCACCGCGGAGGGGCGGGGCCGCACCGCGGAGGGGCGGGGCCGCACCGCGGAGGGGCGGGGCTGGGGCGGGGCTTTCCCTGAGGCCGCGGCGGAAGCCGGCCTCAAGGGGCGTGGCAGGGGCGTGACCAGGCGGAGCCGCTAAAAGGCTGGCGCCGGGCCGGAACTTCGAACAGAGCATCTCGGTTCGCAGTCATGTCCCTTCCGCGCTTCGCGGCGCCGCGTGCCCAGTTCAGGGAGCCTGCCACCTCCTTGCCGCCACCTGAGGACCCTGATTCCCGAGCACCCAGAAGTAAGCGGCCCCGTCTACAGGAGCCTGGCAGTGCCTCTGAGGTGGAGTGGAGGCTGCCTCTGGTGCCTCGCTTGTCTGAGGTGGAAAAAGCCTGGCAGTTGTCGCCCAGACCCTTCACGGCGCTTCTTCTTTCAGCTAATGTGGTTTTCGAGAACTCCGCAGACTCGCGTGTGGAGAAATCAGTCAGCGGGGAGCAGATCTGTAATCTGAGATGCCAACACGGCAAATCTGAGGCGAATAGTTGGTTGCAGCCTCTCCCCTCACAAAGTTTTGATTCCGGTGCGTGGGCTTCTGGAAGGTCTTGTGAAGCAGGACTGAGTGACAAAGAGGGTCCCAGTGCGCACCCCAGTGACAGAGCAGGAGCGGGGGTCCGTCCGCCTCTGCCCAGCGCCTCCGTACACGGTGGACGTGGCGCTAAAAAAAATGCGGGTGGAAATCAATATTCAGAGCAAGGGAGGGGTAATATTCAGGAAGACAGTAGTTACGTAAAACAGACAGAAAACCTATTTAGGGGTGTTACCTTTTACAAGAAAACCAAATCATCGTGTCATGATTTTAAGGACAGATGTAAAGCTGACAGTGTTATGCCATCACATAAAAAGGAAAATCACGTCTCAGCATCCACATCAGAATCTCAAAACCAGCCCAGCATGGAAATTGCCAAACCCAGCTATTTTAGAAATAGAGGCACAATAAGTATCCCTGAGTTTCCAACTGATTTAAATAGCAAAATGTCCTCTGTCTATTTAAAGGAAATAGCAAAGAGAAAGAATGACAAAAACGAGGCATATGTTAGGGATTTCACAAACATTTACTGGTCCCAAAATAGACCTGATGTTAAGAAGCAAAAGTTACAGGATGATAAAAACATTGTGGATGCCGATGCAGAAAATATTTTTTCTGCATGCTATGAAAGTAACCACCAGTCACTCAGCAACCAAAATATTTGTGTGAGAAAAAAAGACTTGATCGGTTTAAACTACTATAACCATAGTAGTATCAAATCTGATGTAACAGACTCTGAAAAGAATTTCACTATAATACTAGGGAATGCAAATTTGGAAGAAGCAGAAACATGCCTGGACATTTATACATTTACCAGATTAGAAAAATCTCAAAGCCAGGACTGCATTATTAGTCACCTCTCAGAAAAAAAAAGGGCAGTTTGTTGGATCTGGGGTAATTACAGAACTCAACGTGAAAATATTAAAAAAACTGGAGAAAAATCAAATTTTCTACAGTTATTAGAAATAGATCTTTTAAGCAAAGAAGATTATCCCTATACAAAAGCCATGAATACACATGAAGAGAAATCAAAGTCTCTCATGATAGGAACACTTGGTAGCCAAAAAGCTTTAATAAATTTTATTTGGTTCAATGGCAAAAGAGAAAACAATAATATGCCACAATTAAGATGTTCTACTGCACAAAAAGGCTTTCATTTAAGCAAAATTCTTGAAAATTCCATTATGGAAATCTTGAGTTTTTGTGAAAATATCTCAGGAAATCAAAAAAATGATAATGTTTTAACCTGGTATGAAATTTATGAAGATAAAAAGCAAATTGATCTTCAAAATCTAATAACTAAGAATATGAATGTCAATAGAAAAAATGATATGTTAAGTCTATATTTACAAACTGGTGTTTCAGGAGCTCTAAATAGCATATTGAAAACCAACATAACTTCTCTGCTGAATAACTTTGACTGTTTAATTACAATTGAAAATGATTCTAAATTACAAGAGAGATGCTTTGTCAAATGGATTGTGTATTTGCCTTATTCAAAAAATAGTGCAGTGGAAAATCATACTGTATATCTAGCAAGGACTTTAACTTTTTCAAGACTGTTGGAAGGTAATATGAAACCTATGTTAGAAAAAAGTAAGTTATTTAAAACTGAACAAGTTTTTGAAGAGTCTATGAAAAAACCTTCCTTCAGTATGACAACTAAAAATAAACATTTTCCAATTTTTGAAACATATGAAAAAAGTCCTCTTTCAATGGATTTTGGTAACATGGATGAAATTTCTTTGACAAAAGACATTTACGGGAATAAGAGTTGTCCTGAACAATTCATGAATGAGGAAAATTGGGCTCACTGTAGTCCTAATACTGTTAAGACACATGTTAAGTCTGGTTCTCAATTTATACAGAACCATATATATATCAATGGAAAATTTTATGAAATAAATATGTTCAACCAAGATTTAGATACTAAAAGAAACAAGGAGCATAATAAGATCAGTAGCTTTAAATTTAAGTGGATATTTGAAGATTTCTTCAATATTAGGCCACGGGCCATACCAACAAACCACGACATAAACCATAGTGAACAAACTAATCTTGGAACTCTAATTCAGGTGCTAAATTTTGGAAGCTTGCTAAGTGAAATCAATGGGAAAAAACATGATTCACTTTTGAAGGAGGAAGTAAAAGTCACAGCACAAAGTTTAACAAACAATTGCCAAGTTAACAAAGATGTTAAGATAGAAAAGGAAGAGAAAAAAAATAATTTTTCTTTAATGGATGGCATGTTTTCTATGCAACCAGTTTCATTAATGAGTAAAAAAGTAAATGTGGAAGAAACCAAATATGTTAATCAAAATAACGTAGCTGACAGAAATGAATATGAGAGTGTTTTGCAAGAAAGTGAGTTAGCTAATTCAAAGCATTTTCATCCAAAGAATGACTCTACAGAATGTGTTAATCATCAATTTGAAACTGATTTGAGTCTAGGGAACAATGAATGTTTTCAGGATTTAACTGCCAAGTGTTTATCAACAGAAGCTCAGACAATAGTGAGCGATTTTGAGATGAAGAGTAAATTTGATTTAGTACTTGAAGAACTTCGTATGTTTCATGAAATCAGCAAGGAAGATAAAATTCTAAGCACTGAGGAAACAAACAATGGGCAAGAATATTCCCTTAGAGAAAATAATGATATTGAGGAGGTAAAAACAGAGATGAAAGGTGCATCTTCTTCGCTCGGTGATACTATAACATGCCCTAATATGCATAAAAGACACCAAAGTTTATTTAAATGGAAAACAGTGTCCAATAATGGGGAACAGGAAGTTCCAAATGAATATTGCTGTTCAAGAGCAGAAGAGGAAAAATTACTTTATCCTACTTCTAAGGAAGGTATGAAATTAGTCTTAAAATGTTTTTTTATGATGATAGAAAAATGTTGCTTTTTTTTCTGTGTAGGCCAAATATATAATTTTGGGAGAAAAGGAGATAAAGTATAAGACCGTATTTATTGATGCACATTATTTATCTATGAAATCCCGTTCAAATATTAAATAATATAGTGAAGTTGAAGGTAACAAGGGATGAAAAAATATTTTAAGATTATTTATTTACTTTTGGGTGGGGAGCGGGGTTGAGGTAGAGAGAGAGAGCGAGAGAGAGAATCCCAAGCAGGCTCCATATGGTCAGTTCACAGAGCCAGATGCAGGGCTCCAACTCAGGAAACCAGGAGATCATGACCTGAGGTGAAATCAAGAGTTGGCCGCTTAACTGACTGAGCCACCCAGGTGCCTCTAGAAGTGTTAAAATTTTTAAAAGGGGCCTTGATGAATTCTGCTTTATTTATCCAAATATTAGAAGCCAATAGGAGGAAACATTTTTGAGAAAGTAATTTGTTTATACTGTTAACATTTAATGTAAAAGTTACTTTTTGCTATAATGTATTGGTTATTATTTTCAGATTGTGAAAAACCTTCACCTAAAAGGCCGGTGTTTTTCTCTGATGAACTTAAGGAGGAAAACATTAATTATTTGCTGAAGGGAGGTAAGATTTTTGGTTATTTTCTAGAATACCTTCTGAGATGATTATTGCATTTTGTGTTTTTAGCATGAGGAAAATATACTTAGGTTATTAGGAAATAAATACAAATTTAGCACTTTTGTAACCATTAATGGTTTACTGATACAAATTCCAACAGTTAAAAATCAGCTAAATATTAAAATGGCTACAATCAGCCATTTAGAATATTACTGGGAAATGTGCTTTCCAAAACTGTGTTTAAATATTTGCAGTGATGTGTTGCAATCGCTCTGTGATGAGACAGGGGTTATATTTGTCTAATATACATGTATAATGTGTATAACATTAATTAGCAAAACCAAAAAAGATATTTATCGAAGGTGGCTTTTCATTGATGAGATGTTATTCCGAATTACATATTTATTATCTATGTTCTCTCTTCTTTAAGTATTGGGGCTTTTTATATGGATATTTTATTTAATAATTACAAAACTAATATCACTTAGGTATTATTAACATGATAGGACTATGGCATTTAAACTTTTGATTACTATTAAAAAAGTTAAACTAAAGAAAAGTTCAACTAAAAAATGTCTTTGCCTAAAAAAAAAAAAAGTCTGTAGTACCCGAATAAAACACACTAAGTTTAATGTAGGGTTAAAATTAGGAAACTGTTTTCTAAATGACTAAATTTGCATATGGTCGGGTACCTTGCAGGTACTAGGTAACAAGACTAGATCTAGAAAGAATAATGATGTAGGTGAAATATATTTACGAAAACATCTTCGGTCATGGATCATTTCTCAAAATGTTTCTGAAGGAAGATTAGGAAAGAGTCTTTGGAGGATTTTGAAGGAAGATTAGGGAGTGCCTGCCTACTCATACAGTCACCATGCTTATAATTGTGACAATGAAATGAATATATGACGAAAAGTAAAGTGTGTGCACAAACTGCAAAAAAAAAAAAAAAAGTTACATTAGTTGGAAATATCCGGACCCATCTACTCTATCGTGCCTTCACAAGGAAAGGAGCCTCATCACGAAATAGGAAAAATAACATGGTCAGCCAGCATTATTTAGTACTATGTTAGGACAGTCCTCTTGGATTTACTTGCAAAGTGCAAAAAAATGGAGTGATTTTTCTGAAGCTTGTTAGCATTCATAGTGGAAGGAAAAAGTTGGGAAATGCTGGGAAGGGGGCTAGTAAAAATGGACCAGTTCTGCCTAGGCAGAGGGGGTGCCTGCCTATGCCTCTGCCTATGTGATTTCAAAGGCATTGCGACGTGGTGGGCTCTGCACTGGTCATCACGATGCCTCCCCGCTACCAGTCCTGTCTCCAGCGCATCCGGTCTCTGTTTCTCTCTCCTGTCTGTGTAGTGTGGAAAATGCAAGTAGCGTGAAATTATTTTGAACATGTGAAATATGCCGGCCAGTCACTGCACCAGGTGCTTTGTATATCATTTTGCACCAAACCTTCCCTAACCCGAATGTATATGTGAATCACCTGGGTGTCCTATTAAACGATTCTGATTATTTTGTGGGGTAGGCCCGAAGATTCTGTATTTGCAACAAGCAAATGTAGATACTGCTGGCCTGTGGACTTTGACCTGCAAGGATGTAGAAAACATTTGAGTTGAGTGTTATTTCTAAAAGACTACTAACACATTTTATGACTTTTGAATGTTTAGAATTGTTAAGTAACACAAAGCAATAGATTAATCTGGTGTATAGGAATAATAAAAGGGATCACAATCTATTTATAAAAGGGTAGGAAATCCAAGAAGATGAGGAAACCTATCCTCATGGCCCCAACTTGATGACTGTTTTAGGACATATGCTTTGCAAAAGGCCTCTGTTGGTATAAACTGGTTTGGTGATTTCCTATCCATTGCAAAATTACCAGAAGTGTCTGTCATATTAGACCATGAAAGAGGAAAGCTATTCTTTGAAAAAGTAATCAAATGGACTAATCATGGCTTTGTTCTGAAATAATAATCTCATAATGAAGTCCACTTAGTATAAATTGCTGAAATTATCTGATTTATAACCAAATCTAGACTATCAGACATGATCTAACAATTTCGTTTTATTTAAAAAATGAAAACAACTAGTAATGTTTTTCTCTTACTTTTTATAATTAACTTTATAGTTTTAATGTTGAATAAAGTACCATAAACTGATTTATACCTATTTTTGTGTTTTCCCTATCTACATATATAAGTTAAACTTTGTATTTTATTTCATTATCATTTACATTGGTAAATACACAGGATCTATTTGGTTCAGCTTAATAGAAATCATGCCATTTATCTTTTGTCAGAATTATTATGTTGATTATGCTATTTTCAGTAAAATGTGCTATTATATTAAAGTCCTACCTATTCATTAAAGCTGACTGAAAGCCTGATACATTTTTAGCTTTATATTTGTACCTTACTGTTTATTTAAAAAAAAAAGCGCTCTGAAAATTAGAGGTATTTTTGTATTTCATTATCAAGCATCATTAATACTACCTGTCTGTTCTACCGACTTAGTGACAGATATACATCCATGAAATGTTTTGAGCTTTTTTGAATATGATAGTATGATGTTAAATAAAACTTTCAAAGTCAGAGCCCTCCATTTATACGTATGAAATACGTATACAGATGAAATACATTTGTGCTCTATTATTGATAATAGTCTCTATTAAAGCCAAATATAACCATTAACAGTATAGCCTACTGTTTAGCTTCTAAAAAAAATATGACATGGTTTTTAAAGCCAGAACATCAAGTTAATTATATAGTCTTGTTACTGTGTTCAAGTCAGACTGCCTGACTGGAATACTGATTTTATTTAGTTGTTATTTTATCTGGGCAAGTTAACTATTTTGGTGTTGAGACCTTCACATTTTAAATATGGAGGTAGGATTAAGTAAATTAATGACTTTAAAGCACTTATTAGCCCAGTGACTCAGTAAATGTTTCTAGATCATGATTAGAAGTAAGTAAAACTTTTTAAGCTTAGAAACTACAAGTACAATTTTTACTCCCTTATGCACTTTTATTATCTTATATTTTAGGTAGTAACTTTTCACATGGAATTTCAAGAGTACTACCTCTTAAGACATGCAGTCGACCAATCAGAATTGGTTTGTCAAGAAAAGCTAAGCTTAAACAACTTCATCCCTATCTGAAATAAATGAGAACTTAAAAGAAGACATTGGACTTTAACATTTCACACCATTTAGAAGTCTTTTGTTTCTTACTTTGGATAAATGCTTTCTCTTAGTTTGGGAGCTTTGGGCTTTCTTTATTATGAAATATGGAGACGGGTGTGTGTGTGTGAATTGTCTAAATGCCTTTAAACATTACAAAATATTTCATTGATGTTTCCCTAATATATTATAACATATACATTAAAGGCTTTTCATGATCTCATAAAACATGTCAACTTATTATTTTTCATGATATATATGTATAAGTATTTTATAGAGAAGAATAATAGCCTTTATAGGTTTCTCAAAAGCATCTGTGACTCATAAAAGTGGTAACAGACCACTGTTCTAATCCACTTACCTTTTTTTATTAAGTAAAAAATAGAGGTGCAAAGAAGATGGGTAAGATTTTTAAGATCACAAAATTAGTGTCAGCATTGAGATAGAGGCACTTTCTGAAAAATTCTTTCCTACTTTTCTCTGCATTCACTTTCTAATTAAAAAAGTTTTTTAACGTGTGTTTATTTTTTGAGAGACAGAGAGAGGCAGAGTGTGAGCAGGGAGGGGCAGAGAGAGAAGAAGACACAGAATCTGAAGCAGGCTCCAGGCTCTGAGCTGTCAGCACAGAGTCCAACGTGGGTCTCAAAATCACAAACCACAAGATCATGACCTGAGCCAAAGTCAGATGCTTAACTGACTGAGCCACTAAGGCACCCATCACTTTCTAATTTTCATTTCTCCCTCACAGTCTACCTTTGGCCCCAAGCAGAATTATGATCATGTAGTTAATACCTACTCTTACATTCAACATATTAACCCTACCATTTGTATAAAGCTCAGAGGTAGAATTCAGAAGATATGTATGAGTTCACCTTATGGAACTTATTTCTCTACTTAAGATTGGTAAAGAAATGTAGAATATACATAATTTAAAGGTAGCCGTCTACTTTTCAAAACATTATACAGAGAAGCAACAGTAAAATTGGCTACTTAACATATAAAGTAAGGAAAGAAGGAGGCGTTAAGAAAGCATTATAAATAGAAAGCATACAATATAGAAAGAAGACTAAATGTATCAATTCACAAAATATCTGTGACTGGATTAAATTCTCCTATTACAAGCTAAAGTTCTGAAACACACTAAAAACATCTCAATTTATCTGTATTCTTTAATTACCACCCCCTAGCAATGTACTTTCCAACTTCAATATCTTGCTCTGATTTCTCTGCTCCCACTCCCCCTCCCGGAATGCACCACCCTCTCAAACACTATAAACACTTTGCTAGAAGGAACGCAAGTTCCTTGAAGGCAAGATTCTTTCCTCTCCATCCACTAATATATCCCAAGTGCCTAGAATAGTACCTGCCCTTTGTAAGTATACATAAATTATTGAGTGAATGAATAATTAATTTCTATGCCTGCTCATAATAGCTGTGTGTTTTTGAATTCTAGTAGTTTATGACCTTGGGCAAGTCCTCATTTTTTAAAATTTCTTTTAAGTTTACTTATTTTGAAAGAGAGAAAGCACGAGTGGGGGAGGGGCAGAGAGAGAGGTAGAATCCTAAGTAGGCTCCACAACATCAGTGCTGAGCCCAACACAGAGATTGATCTCACAAACCATGAGATCTTGACTTGAGCTGAAACCAGGAGTTGGATGTTTAACAGACTGAGCCACCCAGGTACCCCTGCAAGTCCTCATTTCTAAAAAGGGGATAACAATATTTCATGGGATCATTGTGAAGTTTAAATCAGCTAATACATGTTATATATTTATAGTGGCTCTGATATGTAGTAATTCCTCAATAGTGATAACAAATTGCTGATATATAGTAACTAAATAATTAGTAACTATTTAGAATGATTGACTTTTTTTATTTTTCTGGATCATGAGTTGGATGATTTCAGGAATATACCTATTCCTTTGAGCCTTTTTTTTTTTTAATGTTTTATTTATTTCTGAGAGAGACAAGCATGAGCAGGGGAAGGTCAGAGAGAGAGGGAGGCACAGAATCTGAAGCAGCCTCTAGGCTCTGAGCTGTCAGCACAGAGCCCAACGCGGGGCTTGAACCCATGAGCCGTGAGATCATGACCTGAGCCGAAGTCAAACAACCAATTGAGCCACTCAGGCTCCCCTCCTTTGAGTCTTATGAAGATGTTCATTTTACTTTTTTTCTACAAGGGTCCTCATCTACCTCTTTTTTCTTTTAATTATTATTACAATAATAATTTGGATTTTTTTCCTTTTATCTGTATACAAGGCAGATCTCATTATGATCAAGATTTGTCTGGACAAACCTTGGTCCTTTTCCTTGTTTTCTGTTGCTGTGTGTGAATATTGAATTCTGTTCTCACATCTGTTTCTCAAGGGCAAACTTATGTGCTTCCAGTCTTATTCCTAATATTTATAGGAGGCTTTTTAAAAAGAAGCTTTTCTATATACTTCTATCCTTTCTTGAATAAATGGCGCAGAAACTGCTAACAACAAAAATTTTTTAATAACAGAATTGCAATTCAAGACACACATGCTATGGCAAAATTATAGGCAAGTCTGGAGAAGAAAGACAAGGAACACTGTTTTATAGAAGAAAGCGGGGAGCTGGGAGAGCTATTATAAACAAGAAGTACATTGGAATAAACAGGGAATTCAAAATGTAGTGACTTTTCATTGGCTAAGTTGTGGCTATCTCTCCTTGGCTGGCCTAATTGCTAGGCAAGGAGAAAATCTTTCTTCTTCCTACCGGGGTAGTAAAGTATATAGGCTTCTCTCTATTGGTAGTGCAAGATATGCTCTTCCTCTTGGGGTCTACAACTGACAGCCAGAGTTAGGGCATAAGATTTTTTGTTTCTGGCCTCCTGACTTCATTAAAAAAAAATTTTTTTTAATGTTTCTTTATTTCTGAGAGAGAGAGAGAGAGAGAGAGAAAGACAGAGACAGAGCGTGAGCCGGGGAAGAGCAGAGAGAGAGAGAGACAGAATCCTAAGCAGACTCCAGGCTTTGAGCTGTCAGCACTGATCCCTACAGGGGGCTCAAACCCCTGAGCCATAAGATTATGACCTGAGAGGAAGATGCTTAACTGACTGAGCCACCCAGGTGCCCTGCTGACTCCATTTTAAATGAGGTTTCCTTTATTCAGCTTCATGAAACTTCCAGCCACTCCTGGTTCTTTCCTACTCTGAACTATGTGATAAATTTAAACTCCTCACACATTCTGTACTGCTTACAGTGCTTTTCCATGCCACTTCCCCAATTACTGCCTTTACCTGCAGAGATTTTCTTATTTAAAAAAAGGGAGAGGGGTACTACTACATCTTTCCAAATGCAAAACTCACTCCTGCCAGTGTCTTTACTGAAGCACCCCTTTCCCCACTACTTCCTACCCAAACACACACATATATATGCACACACAAACAGACATCACCTCCCCCTTCCTGCCTAGTTCTGTGAGTTCTTGTATCTGGAAATAGAAAGTTGGAAGCTAGGAGCGAGGTAACATTTTAGCTCTTTTTTTTTTCTTTTTGTCTTTATAGCCAGGTTTGAGAGGCTATGGTAAAAAAAAAAAAAAAAAAAAAGCATTTTAAATTGAAATCCATTCTCCTTCCACCTTGTTCTCTTCATCTTTGTTCCTAAAATGTAAAAGTTGAATGATTTCAGATCAGAAGAAAAGTATTCAAAGGATGAAAAGCCACTAAAAAATACTTGCTTTTATTCAACCTTAGAATAAATCTGTGTGCTACTTCAGTTTAAAGTAACAAGCTTTTGGAAGCGTAACAGTGAGCATGAGAAGAGACACAGAGCATCATATTAAATCAACTTGAAAAATTATGTTGATAGTACCTGAAATATAAGAAATGTCTGAGTTAATATCCATTTAACTTTACTTAGTTAAGCAAAATGTGAAACAAAATATGTAGTGAAGTCAATCTTTATTTCCATCTAAATTGCCACATAAGGAACATTTATAGAGTTAGCCATCGTTTTGGGAAAATTTTAGTAGTGCATACTAAAAAAATTGTCCTTTGGGCTGAGAGAATTAGGATGTAAACATGTCAGAAGGGTTCCAAATCATATTTTCTTCACTTTGCTATAAAATATGTCATTGTCTGAAACTACCCTTGTCAGATGTTCCTATTTAATTGTTTGTTTATTTGTTTGTTTTGCTTGTTTTTAAAGCACAGACACATGCTATAATGGCAAATTCAGAAGAAATAATCATTAAACCATTCCACCTATCCAGGCCATGGGGAAAAGAATAAACTCATGATCTGAGTCTCTATAGTAATAATATTTCTGTATTTTTAAAAAATTTTGTACATTTGGATTACATTTATTTTTTTTAAAAAGGAAGTATTGGGGACTTCTTCGCTGAACCTGACTCCTAAGTGTCTATTCAGGATCTCTACTGTGATGCCTAATAGGTGTCTCAAACTTAACTGAGTTTCTGGTATTTCTCCCCAAACTCCTCCCCCAGGAAGTCTTATTTCACTGAATGGTCACTCCATTCTTTCAGTTACTTAGCTTAGAAATCTTGGAGTCATCCTTAACACTTTATTATTATTAATTATTATTTTATTGGGTTTTCTCATAACCCAAAGCTGGCCCATCAGCAAATCCTGTTGGCCTTAGCTTCTCTTGCCAGGATAATTGCAATAGAGTCCTAATTGGTCTCTCTGCTTTATTATTTGCTTCCCTTCAGTCTCTTCTGAACACATTAGCCAGAATGATTCTTTAAAATATGTCAGAACACATCACAACTCTGCTCAAAACCTTCTAAAGGCTTTCCATCTTACTCAGAGGAAAAAAATATCTTACTTTTATGTGTAATGAGGTGACAATGATCTCTCTTACTTCCCTAAAGCTTTGCCTATTTTCCCTTTGTTCATTCTACTGAAACCACACTGACTTTGCTGTATTTTGGATACATTAGGAATATCCCTGCCTTGGGGACTTTTCACTTGCTTTCTTTTCCTGAAATGCTTGTTTCTAAGGTATCTGTATAGCTTGCCCTGCACTCCCTTCCTTAGAACTTTACTCAAAGGTCATCTTCTTAGTGTGGCTTTTTCTTCCCACTAATATTCATGTAATACCCCGCTCCTCCTTTTATCTTTTCTTTCTTAAAATGT